CTCATAAACACTTATGACTTCATATTTGTTATTATTTATCACTATCATTATTACTATAGTACATTAAAGAGTAAAATGAGTTTCTGTCCCCAAAATGAATTGATTGACATCACAGAAATAGTAAGTGCATTGTTTGGCTCTGAGCCACCAGGATGCCAGATAGCAAAGGATAATTTTAATAAGTTAAGGGAAAAAATTTAATTATCAATGTTTTTGAAACAGATCATGTACTGAGTCCAACACCTGAAACACAGAGGAAAGTGATTCTTTATGAAGCAGACATCCAATGCCAAACATTCAGGAACAATTAAAAAAGTGGTAGTTTTTGTAAATTATCCCCAGAAGTTTTAGATATCTTTCATTTTAGTCGTTGTGGTCCAGTGAACCATAAAGCCATTACTAAGGAATCAGAATACTAGGGAGAAAATTGAAACACAGCAGTAATTAACAATAGGAACATGTCAAAATAAAAACGAACTGGAAAGAGGATGGCCATCTCGTGTGCCGCGCAGGATGGGAACATTTACATATCCTCAAAACCAAATAGAAAAGTCACAGATGCTCGGAGTACCTGTAGGTAAAGTCCTCATCTCCAGACTTGACAAAGAAGAGAGCTTGCTAGTGTTTTTCAAAATGTGTGGGAAAGTGTCTTCAAAGGCCTCCTTTTCATAGAAAAAAAAGTCATTTCTTTTCTAAAATACTTTAATTAGCATTAATGTATATTTCTATTTGTTTTAGGATTGTAGTTAACAGCCTCCATTTTAAATTCTGCCTCTTACTTCTGTACGCTTAATGCCAATGAAGAATAATTGAGAAAACCCCAGGAAAGGAGCCCCCATCGCAAACACAGATTTCCCTGTGGGTTCCCGAATACTTTACAGCAAATGTTAAAGATTTATTGCACATGAACATCAAACATGGTTTTACTACAATTCTCATTTGGATCAAATTGACACATTTTACACTCATTTTAGCCTAATGAGATTCTTTCTCTACACATTATATTCCAAGTGACCCTGTACATGAAATCTGTGGCATGGAACAAACCCATTGATATAACAAAGCTCTACTCTTACTGGTTTCTTAATTTACAAAAGAGAAAAAAACAGTTAAGCAAAATCATCAATCTTCAACAAATGAACATTTTAATTGACACTCAACAGAGAATTCAGATACGATGTAGACGGGTCCTGTTATATATGAGGTTTAAATGCAGCGTTGGCAGCTAAATTCTCCTCTACTAAGATTATAATCTGAATATTCAATGGTTCAGGCATATTTCATAATTCAAATTGAGGGAGTTAGTAATGACAAAGCTACAATCTGAGCAGGCATAGGAAATTAGATTTGTGGTTCATTTTTAAGTCTTTGCTAACAGGCTGCCAGGATTCAATATTTACTCTTGTGCACAATTTCTTATTCTCAAAGTCAGCCTTAGAAAATGTTCTTGCTGCTTAATCCTGACGGTAGGGCGTGAGATGATGGAAGGCTGTACACAGCAGCTGCCATGCCTTCCTCCAAGCGCAGTCGGTGACCTTGAAGTGAGGTGAAAGGAAACCGGAAAATGTTAATTAAAATTATTAGCGCTGTTTGAGGTGCTTATCTTGTTTACTGCTAAGGTGTTGCTCCCTTCTGCATAATTAGGGGTAATTTTACTTACTTTCAAGTCTGGAATTTTAAATATCACAAAGTTTTATCTTCTAGATGAAGTAATTCATTATTGGTTCGTACATAACTGCTTGATGTTTTAATCAATATATGTGACTTCCATGAGTCTGTTAGAATTTATCTGGAGGTTTTTATATATATGTACATATATTTGTAGTGGCAGATTGTGAGTGGCACATGAATTAAAATCTTTCTTTTTTAAAAAAACTTTTGTTGGTATTTCAACATTGCTCTGGGTTTTTGATGTGGGGACAGATTTGTATTGATCTGCCCGTTCATATTTCTTTCTATGTAAGACTTTGCAGGCCAGCAATACTGGCGAGGAAACTTCTCTCAAGTCCCTTCTATTTGGAAACAATATACTCCTGTCACTTAATCCAAACAAGAACAAAGCATATTTTCACAAGCTGTCAAAGAAATACAGAAATGAGTCTTTCATGCTATCAAGTATTCCTATCTAAGCAGTCTGTCCTGGTGGTCATTGGGAAGAAAGAAAACGGCATCACAGCTTTGAAAAACTGTGATATTAACCTTAGCTACCAGAGGTCTGAAAGCTTAGCTATAATTATGGAACCTTTCAAATATAACTTCCTACAAAACCATCCCTTTCTGAGAAATTTTTTTTCTCATTGGAAAGCAGAAAAATATCTAGGTTGGAATTGCTTTTTCTTTGTTTATGTAAATAGATTGTGTGTGTGTGTGTTTTTAAGCAACCTGATAAAAGACTGTAAAAGCTGGGTTTTTCTGCATAAAATTAGTGATTAAGTTAAGGCATTACCAGGATATATGATTTAAATGAGAGCAAAACAATGCTCAGCACCAATAGCCATGTGCCTCTTCCATCTGTTCCTTGGTTTTAGTTCAGTGCACTAAATTGTACCAAGCAGCAACTTTAAGGAGTGTGGCCCATGTCCCTGAGACCATCACTTTGCTTCTATTTAGAATAGCCTGACACTGAAATTAAGAAAATGGAATATTCTAGAACAGGTTAGAGCTTAACTTTCCCCAGCTCTTTAGGGAATGCAGGAAGAAGACTCCTGGAGGATAAATTAGATCCATATCGAGTTCGTTACAGCTGTTCCCTAAGGATGGATGCTGAACTGTCTCTTGAGGCTTGGAGTTGACAACCTCCCAGAGAACTTCCTCAACTGCCTTAGATGAAGACTCCACTTAGATGCTCCCTTCCCTCAAGTTCAGTAATTGGGAGGCCATGCAAGCCCCACGTGAGGAGCCCTTCAAAGTCTCTAATGAAGAAATGACAGGGACAATAATAAAGGATGTTTGAGAGACCCACCCACTGGCCTGCCCAGAGACAGGGCTGCTCTGCTTGGGCACTAAGCATCCTCAAGTGACCTCACTGGCCCTCTGGAGACCACCATCTTACTTTTTCTCCTTGAAGCTGCCAGTCCCCAGTCTCTGTCAAAATCAACCAAGATGGTTCCTCAACCAAATCCTACCTTCTCATGCTCATCTCTGTGCATACAAGAGATCTGTCTTTTAAAGGTCACTTAGGCCTTGCCATACCAATTTAAAACTCCCTTGGCCTTCTCTGTGCTCTCAGTAAATGCAAACCCAAGCATGGCCCCCTTGCCTTGGTTCTCTTCACAGCCCTGACCTATAGATGCCCCCTGTAACTCCCTCTTACTTGTCCATTTCTAGGTCCTCACATGGTTAGCCTATACCACTGCAGCTCTGTGTCTGTTCCACAAGACACACCCCTGGCCATCTGTCTATATAGAGGCCACCTCAACACTCTGGTGCCCTTAGCCATCCATAGGCTTAGCTTTGTGGTCACCCAGCCCTCAGGCTTAAGGGAGACAGTGTCATCCTGTTTCTTTCATTTGTCTCTAGGCTTCCCCCAACCATCTTCTCTGCCCCCAGGAAAACCTTGGTTCTCACTCCACTCCATCCCTAACACTTGCAGAGCACAGAGGAAGCATTTTCTAGAATCCATATGACCACTCTGCATGTGTGACATTTGCTTTGCAGTATGTGCCAACCAAGGAGCTGGCAGCCTGGGCAACCACAGCTGTTCCTTCTCAGACCAATCTCTTTCCCTTCTACCAAGATCCTTGCCTGTCACCTGCCCAATGGATCCTGTAGTGGAGTAAAGCGCTTCCATTTTCTCAGAAGCACCTGGAACAGCTCAGTGCCTTCTTTGGAGGCACTGCTTGTGGTTATGCTCAGCCATGGCGTTGTCAGTTTTGTTACCCTGATCACTATCCAGTGGATGGATGAGCTCCACACGGTATCAACCTACAGCCGGAGGGGTTGGTCCTTCAAAAACACGGAGCCTTCCTACTGTATAGAAATAGAGGAGGATCATTCTGACGAGCCACGGGGAAAGGGACTCTGAACACTTTGCACTAGATGGGGACACTAAGGCCTTCCTGTACTCACTTAGTGTCCCGGATCCCAGGGTTTCCTTGATTCTGTGTGCTGATGGCCATCAACTGATGTGGCCCTTCACATGCCACATCTTTCTGTGAGCCAGTCTGTGGACTGTTTCTCCTTGTTCAATAATAGCCCATTCCCTTTCTGATGAGGGTGACCACGGTTCTCTTTTAGCTCTGCACACTGTCCTGTTCACCACGAGAAGCCCTTCCATCTCCCTCACTCAGTGACAGCTGCTGGCCACTTGAAGGCACACATCACTGGGGTCTTTCCTGCCCTTGCTCTCAACCCTTCCCCACCACCAAACACCGCTCTTGCAACCAATATTAATTGTGAAGAAATGTTGTCTGAAAGACCAGCCATTATATTTCATAAACAAACGGACATTCTAGTTTTAGGCTGGAGAGTTCTGAGGATTCTAGCTGCCATGACCAATAATGAAAAATAGTCCCAAGAAATCTGAGACTGGGAGGAAAGAAATCAGCCCCCCTCAAGAGCTTGGAGGCACAATTCCCATCTCATAGATCAGCAGCCAAGCTTGGAGCGCGGCATGGGCTTTACTGGCTCAAGACCCCCTGCTGTGCTGAGTCCTGAAGCCTTTGCTGCGTGACTTTCTCTTAGCCCAGCGCAGATACCACGTTGTCAGTGCAAAAAATATCAGATGTCACTGAAGAAAATGTTTTCAGGGGGAAAAAAAAAACCACTGACATTCTGGGGTAGTTTCTCTTTTCACCCTTCTAAACCTTCTGTGGGTTGAGCACTCATCACTGAGATGGCAAGAATGTCTGGGTAGCTTACAAGCAAGTTCATTTTTGAATCTGTGGTATGTTTGCTCAGAGCCAAAGGCCAAGGGGATTTATATGGTTGTTGGGAGTATTTTCCCCGAGGAGTTAAAAACATTCTGCAATAGCCAGTTTTTTAATAAACTGTGAGATTGATTTGCTTCAAACTTGTCCCTGCTTATCTTACGGGTTCACTGTTAATGGTCCCCGGGGACACCAGAAAGATTGGAGAATGGCTATGGATGGAGGAGGCCAAGAGGAAGTTTTAGAGAGAGGCAATGATGACCCGGACCTCAAACCACTAAAACCATTTGTGAGAAGGTACGCTTTGCTGACCCTGCTCTTTCCTCCTTTCCTTTCTCTCTCCTCACAGCACTGTTAACCACAGCCTCAAGGTTCTCTGCAAACCAGACGCAAAAACCATTCTCCTACAAGAGAGCTGGCTTCCTCCACTCCGCAGTGATAAGCTCTGTCAGAGGGGAGTTCCGAGGTTGACTGTGTGTGGCTCCGAGGCGTCTCTGAGTGTGTGAAAGATGAGGTTCTTGGAAGGAGACTAAAGAAGAGAGCTTGGCTGCCTCAGCTGGAGAGGACTCTTGGCAGTGGCCAGGGGCAGCCTCCTTCCTCTCCAGATGGAAGGCAGGGATGGGACTTACCCAGGGCCGCCGGCTGAGACACACTGATTCCTGCCCTTAGCCATACACAGAGTCTTTTCCTAAGAAGTCCCTTCTGATAAAGAGCTTCAGACGTTCTGTGTCCCATGGCATTCTCAATGTTGACTCCTGTGCCTATCGGGGGCTCTTGGGCCTGGGTGCTGATCCACACTCTCAGATGGAGTGCCCAGCAGACAATCCAGCTCTCCCAAACAGAAATCCTGCCTTCTCTCATACAAGCTCTTCTTTGTTTCCTCCCCTTCTGGAAGTCAAAGTTAGTGCTTTTTGCTCAAGCCTAAGACCTGGGTGCACCTTTGGCTTGCTTCATATCCCACCCATAGTCAGGCTCACTTGCTTCCTCCAGCCTTGTACCATCAACCTGATGTTGGCCACTCATTCTCGAGACTTCAAAGAACCTTCGAAACACACAATACCCTCTCCTTCCCAATGGCCCCTTGTTGCCACTGTGGCTAGAGAAACCTGTCCTGGCACACTGCATGTCCTGTGAACTCTTACTCCACTCCTCCTCCAGTCCCATGAAGATTTCAGGGTCTCCTTCTGCCCATCCCTGACCTAGGCTGCCTCCCTGTGGCTCACCATGCTCCTACCTGGAGACCACATCTCTGTCCTTCACAGACATCATGCTTTACATCAAGTTCTGTTGATGCTTCTCATGCTCACAGTACCACTCTGGGGAGGTTGTCAGGGCTGGTTCCTCCTCCTCACTCAGTCTCAGACAAGCATCTCCCAAGCAGGGTCCTCCCAAGCATCCTATCTGAAATCAGAACCCTGACCACTTGGCCTCTGCTTTTCTTCTTTTTGTTCTTGTTGGTGGATAGTCACTAATCATTGACCACACGGTGGGTTATAAATGCATTTTCATTTAAGGACATCGTGCACTTTGACCATATTCACTCTCCTGGGCACGCTTATCCCCCATCCCCTCTTGCTAGTTCCCCTTTCCCCCAAGACAGCACGACTTCTGTTTTTATGTCATATGTGCATGGGACTTGCAGCACACCAAAGCAGATGGGACCACCACTGGGGAAGAGACCTGAAGGGGAAAAAGTGAGGAAAGACAGATACGTGATGGAAGAGCAGAAGAGGGGTCCAGTTAGGGAGAAGAAGGGGGCAGGCAAGAGGGGAGCGAGGAGTCAGGGAGGTTATCAACTAAACAACCAGTCACCAAGACGCCATACCAACTCCAGTGCCGTCGGGTGAGTGGATAAAGGAAATGTGGTAGGTGTGCACAGCTGAGTGGGATTCTGTCATGATGAAGGGTAGAGTCCTACTTTTACATGCATTAATTCCCTCAGGGGGCATCATGTGTTAAGTGAAATGAGCCAGGGACAGAATCCCAGCAGTTCGGGAGCCACTCGGATGCCAGAGGAGCCTATGGAGGAGCTGAGGACAGAATGGTGGTAACCAGGGTGAGCAGGGCAGGGTCTGTCAATGGGACAGGGCTACCATTGGGAAGAAGTAAGTCGTGTCTCCTCAGGTCACCACAGCTGTTAGCAATGTATTACACACTTCAAATAGCCAGAAAAGAGGGTTCTCAACTTTCTCCAAGTAAAGGAATGATAGAACATTTTCAAGGTAGCGGGTCGGCCAATCATTCTGATTTCCTAAGTGTCATCTATCCACAGATTGAAACGTTTTCTGTTCAATGTTCTATTCAACCATATGGTGTGGTTGTTTGTGCCTGTAATTCTAGCACCAAAGAGGGTGGGGCAGGATAGAGTTTGAGGCCAGCCTGAGATACACTATGAGTTCCTGGGCAATCTGGACAATGTATGAAACACTGTCTAAAAAAATCAGGCTGGGGATGGGCTCATTTAGTAGAGTGTTTTCCTAGCGTACATGACACCTTGAGTTCCATCCCCAGTACTTGCAAAAACTGGGTAGAGTGGCATATACCAGTGATCCAAGCACTTGAGAGGTAGAGATAGGAGGTTCAGAAGTTCAGGTCATGTTCAACTGTATTGTGAGTTCAAGACCATCCTGAGATATATAAGACCTCTGTCTTTGAGAGAGGGAGGGAGGAAGAGAGAGAGAGAGAGAGAGAGAGAGAGAGAGAGAGAGAGAGAGAGAGGCATTATGAATGATATTTTAAAAGAAAGGAAGAAGATATTAGCTTTACTTTTAAAAATTAATATAAAATGAATCATCCCATCATACTCCATAAACATGTCAATTATTAAACGTCAATAGAGTAACAATGATGGGAAGGTTACTACAGAAACCAACCTACCTGAAAGCTGAAGGTGTGACTAGTACTACACAGCTTGATTAGTATGAGAGAGTCCCTGGGATTCATCCCCAGAAACAAAGAACAGCTTAAATAAATAAAATATATCCTAGTAAAAGAAACTCATGGATCTCTATGAATTCACAAGCCAAGACACTGAGTCCTTTACTGCTCAAACTCAGGACCAAGAGTCAGCCCCGGCATGAAATCATTAGTAATAGCAGCAGGATGCATACTGCAGTGAGACTTCCCATTGCCACTGAATTGTGCACTTGAAAGTGGTGACATCTTCCATAAGTCATATACATATATGCATGCAATAACAATTAATGAAAAAAGAAGCCCTGAATTTGAAAGGGAACAATTAGGGCTATGTGGGAGGGGTTAGAGGGAAGAAGGGGGAGGAGAAATGTTGTAATTATATTAATCACAAAAAAAACCCCAAAATTTATGACAGCTTGAACACATCCCTTGCAAGCTCAACTGGGACCAAACCTCATTATGGAGAAGGAAGGTAGGACAAAGTCCGACCTGGCTGAGGAGCTATTAGCAACTGATAGCAGCTGGAAGGGTGAGTCAGCTTACCTTGAGAGTGTAGTCCCTGGTGGGTTGCCCAGGCTCAGAGCAGTGGTTCTCAACCTGTGGGTTGTGACCCCTTTGGGGGGGTTGAATATCAGATATCCTGCCTATTAGATATTTACATTACAATTCATAACAATAGCAAAGTTACAGTTCTGAAGTAGAATGAAATAACTGTATGGTTGGTGGGGTCACCACAATATGAGGAACTTCACTAAAGGGTCATGGCATTAGGAAGGTTGGGCACCACCGTTCCAGTTGTAGGCCACACATCCAAGGACATACAGGTGGCACAAATTGGTACTGATGGACAGAAGAGAAAGAGGAAGACACAAAGTCAGGTGGCAGGGAGGGGGGTGGTGGACCTGGGCAGGGTTGGGGGAGAATATGACCAAAGTACAACGGGGGGGGGACGGGACGGGACGACAAACTTCTCAAGGAACTAAAACAAAATTAAAAGCTTTGACTGGACTACCAAATGTTGCCTCGGGGTTATGATGCTACATTAGAGCAATGTTGTTGCATGCCTTTTGATCGTAGTCACTCCTCCCCCCACCTCCTGGAGGATGTCTGGTGGCGGGGGAGGTGAAAGCTGATAGTGGTCAGAAGAGTATCTGAGGGCAGTGACGGTGGCCTCAAGGTGCCAATAAGCTGGTGGTGAAACCAAGAGAGAAGGCAGTATGGAAGCTGGGGTTGTACCCTCTGCGCTGGGGCCTTTCCCAAGACAAGGGCAAGTGAACACTGGCACGAGGCTGGGTGTTCAAGTCTACCTCAGGCCGCACAGAGGTCTTCATGCTTACGTTTGAGAGGTTTGCCACACTGTTGAGGGATGACACCGTTAGTGCCCGTAGATTTCGCTGGAGCCTAAAGCTTCATAACAATGTCTCCCAAGCCAGCGGGAGTATATGCAGGTTGCTTGATAGATTATGGTGTCATCTTATGCTTCTTAGTGGTACCAGGGTACGAGAACAAAATGCCCTGCCGACTGGGAAAGAAACAATCAGGGCTAAGCATGCACAGCCTGCAGCTGAGACCATGGCTGGCGGGGCCATCCCCTCCTCCTGCCATCTGCTCACTGCTGCATCTTCCCGCCCTCACTGCTCTGTCCTGAAGTTCCTATAGATGTCTTTGAAGCGGGGGAGGGGATAGGGGCACAGGGAGCCAAGAGCTCTTAAGTTATTCTTAATTTGTTTTTCACATACTTAAAAAATGTCGAGAGTTGAACACACTGCAGTTTTAGAGAGAGTTCTGCACAGTCCCAGTGGGCATAAGATTAAAACCGGCAGTTGGTCTCTTGTGCTAAGTAGCAAAGAGAAGACTTTCCCAAGGATATTTTTCATGTTCACAGCAGTTTTCCCATTTAGAAACACAGAGCACAGACTTAAAACAGCAATCAGAAAATAAGCAAAGTTACAGGTGACGGAGAAACCAGGATAATTCATGAGTTTCATAAGAGACACAATTAGAATTCTTCCCTCTAGCCACAGCCCTGCACTACCAGAGACAGAGAACTCTGCAGACCTGGTGTTTCCCATCTGCATATGATCCTTCCCAAATTGGGTTAAAACTGGGACATCTACTCAGATGGCTGGGAGAAATATCTCAAAAAATGAGTCATGTTTGAGCTTGGAATATGGCTGTGCCTAGCTAGGTGCATCTGGAAAATGCTAGATTTTTCAGTTGGCTGAACAGCGCAGCCATGCATGGTGGACTTTGATGGCAGACCAAGAGCTTGGCTCAGTGTGTATTTGTCAGAAAAATACTGGGCTTTCCATTAAATTGGATGTTGAAATCATTGAAATTTTTAACCATGGCAGTGTCTATTTTTTCCGTGGGCGTGTGCGTGTGCGTGTGTGTATGTGTGTGTGTGTCTACTGGTTGAGACCAGAGGATGATGTTAGGATATTGTTTTTTAATTGCTTCTCTACCTTCTTTTTTTGAGACAGGCTCTCTCATTGGCTTGCTGCTCACCCTTTTGGCTAGACTGACTGACCAGCCAGTGAGTTCTGAGAATCCACCTGTCTCTGCCCCCTGCATTTGGGTTATCTCACCTTGGCTCTTAAGTGGGTGGTGGAGATTTGAACTCAGGTATTCATGTAGTATTTTACCCACTGAACCCACCCATCCTTTTCTTTCTTTCTTTTTCTTTTTTTTTTTTTTCTTTTTACATTTAATTCAAAATAGGTATTCAGGAGTCTGCTCACCTCTGTTCTCTGCCTGCCCTGTTGGGGGTGGGTGTCTGCTGGGCATTTGCTGCTGGTATGCCTTCCTTGGTTCTTGAAATGTTACTTGAAAAGCTGAAACCTTGTATGCAAATGTATTCAACACTTCCGACAGGCTTCCTTTAGCGCCGGGAGGCTGTGTGAGGGTTTTCTCTATGTCACAAGTCAAAAGAGCCAGCTAATCAAGGGCTTTTCATTTAGGAAAAAGAGATTGCTGCAGAAGGCAGAGAAGGGTTGAGATCAAAGGGCAGAGGCACTCATTTACAGCGTGTTTTCATGGCTCAAACCGCCTCACATGATCCGTGGCATTTGGCCACAATGGAGAGAATTTGGAGAGCGAGCGAGGTCAGGTGGGAGTCTTGGGAGAAAAACAGAGAAATACCATAAAATCTGTGCAGTTAAGCAGAAAAGTCAGCATCTGCCAGCTTTTTGTTTTCTCTCTCTCTTTTTTTTATTCATAGGAAACTGTGTGTGCACATGTGTGCGCATGTGTGTGTGCATGTGTGTGTGCGTTTGCATGTGTGTGTGCGTGTGTGTGTGTGTGTGTGTGTGTGTGTGTGTGTGTGTGTGTCTTCAGCAGCTCTGGAAGTGAGAAGAGAGACAGAAAACAAACAGAAGCCCTCACAAGGGAGCTGGGGAATAGCTCATTTAAACAAAGCACCTCTTCATATGCACAGATGTGAGTAGACAGGAGCCTTCATCTCAAGGTGAAATTGTTTTTAATTGTTTTGTTGTTGTTTTGTTTTGTTGCCCCTCTGTGAATCCTGGGCTAAAGAAGAGGGACAGCCCAACTGGTGAGAAGCCACTCAACATGGGAAGGTCACCCTTTCATAGCGTCCAACTTGCAAGAGACTCTAGGACACAATCCTTAAGGACCATCGAGCCCCCACTCAGGTGTGTACTGTAAGTCTAGCCTGGCGCTGGCCTCTCTTTCCTCCTCAGCTGGTAGCCAGGCATCCTTGCTGTAGTTATTCGTGCTCCTCTCATTCTTGACCCCATCTGTGCTGACAAAGGCCCTCTCCTCCAGCCATGCCAAGTCGGGCTCCTTGTAGCCCTATTTGATCAGGCCTTCCCTCCGTCCTCATGGGGTTCAGTTTGCGTAGGAATCCTGCCAAGTCAGGTAGCAAAGATCTCCCACCCTTGCTGTCTGAGAACCCTTGTTATCTTGTCCCCTTGCCCTGCTTCATTTTGTAATGTCAGTCTGCTGGAGCCCCTTATCCATCCTTGACATGTCTTCTTTGCAGGCATTCATTCACTGATCCATACCTACTCTTTGGTGATAAATACCCCTCCCTGCCATATGTCCTTTGGCATCAATGGTGAGTCCTAACCCAGCATCCTGTTCCTTCCTAGATTCCCCTGAATGAAGTCCAACTTAACTGTCTTTCACAAGGGCTTGGATGAACGTTTTCATCAACAGTGCCTCTGCATACATTTCTTGTTCTTAGGCTGACACCAGCCATATTAGAAAACCTTACCACTCTTCAGAAGAACTTTCCCAGAAGCAGCTTCTGAGATACCTAGAGTTTGACCCTCAGCATTTGGCATATGGAATCAGGGGACTCACCTCAGCCCAGACACCTTTCAGGTACCCACTGTTGACCTCTGCTCTGCCCTTTCTGTAGAGTACAGTGGCCACAAATGCCCTGTCCAACATCCATTTCTCACCTCTTCTTTTCTTTCTTCCTTTAGCCATTTGTTTCTGCTTCCAGCTCTTTCCTCACATTGATCTCTCTCTTAACGAGCATTGCAATCGAGTTGTGAAGGGCTGGGAATGTACCTCCAGTGCCACTTTGAGATAATTTCCTAGATGGTTTCCATCACCAGCCATAAATATTGCTATTTAATCTTTCTAATTTTAATTGAAAATTAATGTATGTACAAGCCAGAAGAAAAAGAAGTAAATCAGCAAGAGTGAAGAGTAAAGCACATGAATCAGAGGGTAAAAGATGCTACGCACATGGGAGCGGGGAAGGGGAAGAGTCCTCAAGCCCAATAACAGAACTAGAAGTGATAGGAAGACAGACAGACAAACTCTAGGGTCAAAAGGTGACTCTGGCTCCTGGAGACCTGCTCTTGTTTGTCCTTCTTGAGCATCTTGATCTATACCTCGTGAGCATCTGTGTTCCGCTCACTTGTATACACTGGTCACCTTGCAGTAGCTAGGTGCAAGCTTACCTCTGAGCTCTTTCAATCTGAGAACATATCTGCTGCCTACCCCGTTGAGTGGGATTGCTCTGCTCCATTAGATCTCTCTCTCTCTCTCTCTCTCTCTCTCTCTCTCTCTCTCTCTCTCTCTCTCTGCTGGCTTCCACACTTACCTTCAGGTGTTCTCTTCAAAGATAAAGCAAAGGGCAGAAGGGGGTACTGTGGCAACTCCCACACTGCTCTGTCTCTTTCACAGTTTCTGCAGCCTCCTGCTCTGGTCTTCCTTATATTTCCTGTGAGTTATTGTTACTACTACCTTCATTTTGTATGCATTTTGGAAGTAATTTCCTAAATGGTTTCTGCCACCAGTCATAAATATTACGGACTAATCTTTATCATTTTAATTGAAAAATTAATATATGCACAAGCAAAGAAGAAGTGAAACCCAGCAGAGGGCATATCCATACCCAAATCTCTAAGAAGTCATCTGTTGCTTTCATTCTCTGTTCAGCACTTTCTGGAAGACACCCTACTTTCTGGATAAAGCGAAGAGGTCACTTAGTTCTCTAGAGAGTCTAATTGTGGATAGCTAAGTCCTCCAAGTATTGTACCCTGACCCTGGAATAAGAGAGCTAGGATTTCCTAGCTCTTAAAATGGCATAAATTTATCTCCTTTTGCTTTCTTCCAGTTTGCCTTTTTGCAATAACCCAGAGTCTAGGGCCTGTCATACCTTCTCTGGCCATTCTGCGCCACCTCTTCTTATTCTAGTTCCAACCACATTTGTCTTAAGTGGCTTAGCTTTGCTCAAGAAGCAATTGCTGCCCCTGCTTGCTGTAGGCAAGAAAGGTAACTTTCCTCTTCTACATCCAGTGGCATAAGTCACATGTAAAATTCCCATCACTTGTACAGTAAGCCAGCTGGTGACTGGAATCCTGTCTGTACAGCACCTACCTAAGCATGGGCATACTTAGCACCCAATCTTTCATTTTATAGTGAGTACATTAATGAATTTTCTTACAGATGCAACAAAATACTTGCAGAAGCAACTTAAGGAAGGAAGGGTTTTATTTGGCTCACAGTTTGAAAGGACACTGCCTGTTATTGCTAGAAAGGTATGACTACAAAAGCATGAGGCAGCTGGGCACATTATATCCATAGTCAGGAATCAGAGCAGGATAAATGTTGGTGCTCTGGTTTCTTCCCTTCCCTTCCCTTCCCTCTCCTCCCCTCCCCTTCCCTCTCCTTCCCTTCCCTTCCCTTTCCTTTCCTCTTCTTCAGTCTGGACACCCAATTCAAGAGATGGTGCCATTCAAATTCAGGGTGGGTCTTAGTTCCTCAGTCAACAGCCTCTGTCAACAGCCTCAAAGACACCCCCTCCCAATAGTGTGTCTCCTAGGTGACTCCAAGTCCAGTCAAGTTGACAGTGAAGACAAATCATCATGGCGGGTAAATGAAACCTCCATCATTCAATGAAATGAAGCGACCTGAGACTGGATCCCATGACTGCAATGGAGACAGCTTTTGGTATCAGATTCTGGCAGAATAGAACTCAGTGAGGATCATGGAATAGAAGGCGGAAGGGGCAGGAAAATGGCATTTATTTCAATGACCCCCCGCCCAGGGGAAGTAAACAGAGAATAACATAAAAGGATGTGCTTTATTTATTTATTTTGTCAGCAATACACTAGAAGAAATGACTAAATGGTCAACATCTACTTGGACTTTCAAATCCTTTTACCAAACCAAGTGTTGGGGTGAGCTGAACAAACAATACCCTAAGGATCTGTGCTTTGACAAGCTGAAGGGCTGAGTAGCTGCTTCAGAGTTAAGGTTCCTCTGACCTTATCTCATTTCCCTGCCAGGGAACTAGGCTCTCTGAAAGTCCCTTATCTCACAAAAAACAGACATGCCATGGTCCTGACCCTTCTCTGGGAATCTCAGCAAAGATCACAAAAGAAGAAAGATGATTGAGCAAGATCTCACCCCAAGACCTTTGTCCTCAGAAATAGAGCCATTTTGCTAGTAAAGAAGCTGGGAGAGGTTACCTGGGGGAATCCCATATTCACAGCAGGACATCTTAATTCCCTTCCTCCTTCCTCTGTTCCTCATTGCAACCATCTGGGGCATCCTGCCTCTCTCGCTGTTCCTCTTTGCAACTCAGAGTGATTTCTGAACCCCACTGCCTGGCCCTCCAGGGCATCCCACTTTGTATCTGGGCTCAGGAGCCTCTTCCGTACCTTTCTCTCCCATGAATGTGCCCACCTGCTCCTCTCAGCAAATCTTTGGAGAATGAGCAGGAACCTTTGGTGTGATGTGGTGTGCCGTGGCTTCTGAGAGCCACCAATCCATTGTAGTGATCCTGCAGCTGTGAAGGAGCAGCGTCGGGAAGAAGCACTGGAGGCTGGAAGGATGGAAGCTCTTGCTTCTCTCTGATCTGCTGACCCAATCAGTTGTGGGAGAAATGTCAGAAGCACCTGTGGTCACTCTCGAAGCCTTGGAGTCTAAGGTATGGCTCAGGGAACACGGAGGTAGATGGAATGTAAAGATCATGCAAGCCAGAAAGGCTGAGGAGGCTACTGCGAAACAGCAACTTCTGGACACGACATGCGAAGGCATTCATGAGCTGCCTGCAGCTGAGGTTACCTGCACAAGTCCTTCACCCAAAGGGTCCCTCAGCCTTTCATCATGGGAGGGAGAGGAGTCTTAAGGCTCCACTGCTCCTTGGGGAACTATTGACAAGCTAGTGATGGCTGGGGAATCGGGTGTTACTTTATTCAATGGTGTAGGCGCTGCTAAGTTGCCCATGCTCCAGGAAATAACCTCCTGTCCATGCCCATGCAGGCAAGCCCACTTAAACTCAGTGGGTCTCACACATATGAAGGCCTTACAGGGAAGAGTGATGTTATTTGGGAAGAAGAAGGGTTCAGTGACAGAAGGGGGGATGAGACAAAGGAAAAGAGTGGAAAAGACTACAAGTCACTATGAACACAGACAAACCTATCAATGAGAAGAAATAAACTATGGCTTTTCAAACACTGGGGGTGAAACCAACCTCGGGCGGGGACCGTTTGCTCAGGATTCTTTTGATTTTGGGCTAATGGTGAGTGAGAGTAGTTTTGCCCTCATTACACTTCGAGCCCCAAGAAAATGCTGGCCCTCAAGAAGAATGAGGCAGGGTGGAGGACTGAAGACGGCGGCGGAGGAAGAAGCGGGAAGAGGGGCCTCTCTGCTCCTTGACCTACTTAGTAGATTTAGCAGAACCACCATAGTGAACTCTCTAGTATGCCCTCCAGTATGGCCCCTGGGTCTGCAGAGGGCAGCACTACCCAGCCACCTCTGGAAGCCCAAGCCTATAGCTTATCACTTCCCAGGGCAGTCTTTAGGGAATGCTGGGTCTTGTAGGCTCAATGTCACCTTGTCAGGAACACCCCCTTCAAACAGGGCTTTGTGGAAGATTCTGGATTCCGAGGATCCATTACAGGTAGAGGGCTACAGACTCGGTTTGCAGCCCTCCAATCCATACCCATCTACCCTGCATCTCCCCTCTGCCATGACCACCCCCCATAAGACACAAGATGCTCTGCATGCCTCCAGTGTTCTTTCCAGTCATGTCTGGTCAGTGTGGCCACTTGGCAAAGTGTTTCAGGGCTGGGGCCAAGATGCCGAGTACAAGTCCACGTGCTCTGAAAATCCCAACCTTTAAAATCCTCTCAGAGATGGGGATTTAATTAAACGCTGTGTGCTTGAAACTGGTTCAAATTAGTTTATCCATTTCTGACTGTTGTTTCCCACGTGAGCACATGCACTAACAATGTGGAGTGTACTGTGCTTCTAGCATGCTAAAATAAAATACTCTTATGCTATTTAGGATTTTTAAAAAAAGTAAATAAATGGAATGACTGCCCTTAAATTGGTAAACCAATTCCAGCCACCATAAAGTCTTAAAAAGCCAGGCGTCTTCTAAAACTCCTTTATGGGCACACATGGAGAAACTGCTGCAAATGTTATTGTTTGTGAATAAAATGTAAATTAGGGCTTTTGTGTTCACCTGTGAGTTTTTCTCCAAAGCCAGTGATCGCATTTGAAAACTGCAATTCTCAACAGAAAGAGAAAAGTTCAGTGCTGATTGCTGGATATTTGGACCTCCCAGTGCAAACATTAACTGGCTGAGAGGCCCTCTGGAATGTAATGAAGGGAACAATGTTGGGCTAAGAGCCAAAGCCCGCAACACTGGCGCCTGGAACCGAGGGATTTGCCTCCTGGTAATAGGAGCTGAGCGCGGCCCGGCACTTCTGTTAGACTGGAAATGACATACTGTGATCCTTGACTTAGCCAAAGGGATTTTAAATGGAGGGGAGAGCTGGCAAGACACAATCTCCTGCACTTTTCAGTGTTTTCTAAAACAAGCAGAGGAAATTGGGAGAAAAGAACGGGTCTATTACATCGGATCCAGTTTGGGTTGAGAGTGGAGCTTTTTAACTGCTGTTATTATTATTTTTTTTCCGGTTCTTTCTCATCGTGCCCCACCACCCAGCAAGCACAGACATAAAGCAGAAACTCGAGCCGGCTTTCATTCAAGCGGAAGGGCACCCCAACATCGCGTTATTGACAGGAGTTCTGAAAACCCTGACAGCTGCAGAAATTGTGCTGTTGAAGCCCAATTCCCCGGAGTTGGGAATAATATACTGATGGTATTAATTCTGTTTGGAATTGTTAAAATAAGAAAAGGTTACAGGGCTGGGGAAGGACCTGCCTTTTCTTCCTGCGAACAAAGGCATACCTTGTGTCTTCCCTGGTGTCCTTGGAATGTCATTTCCAACCTTCTGAAACTGTATCTGATTATCCATGTGGCAATTAATCATAATTAAGCAGGCCTGAGGTTTGGAGAGGTACAAAGGAGGTGGCTAAGAGCTGGCTGGCTCTGGTTCTTAACAGCCCCCTTCTGCCATTGGCCCGGGCAACCTCTGCTCCAGGAGCCTGAAGAAAAGGTGGCACGGGGAAGTGGGGTGTGAGGGACCCCGAGCACAAAATTTCCAGGGGGGTGGGATGTGCAGGGTAGCTCACAAGCTTCCTTCTCGTCCCTTCCCTGGCGATCGCCATTCCCTCCAGGTTCCAGCGTGCTGGAAGCCAGGTAACGAATTCCTTTTTTAATGCCAAGTGATTTGGAGCCATTCATACAAGCCAGATTTTTCCCATTTATTACAGGAAAACATTCAATCATTATATGCTGGCACGGGATCAGGGGCACATGGAATTCTCTTCTGCCTGCTCCACCCCCAATGAGCATTTTAAAAGCTTAGCAAGCCCAGAATGCCGTCTTATTAAAAATTTTTATATATTTATAATTAAAATACAGGGCTGGCATTCGAATCGTTTTACCAGATGTAATCGGACACGCAAGGCTTTCCCGAGTCCAGGTCAGGCGAGAAACAATGGCCGCTTTAACTCTAGCCTCGGCTCGGGTTTCTGTTTGCACATGGGCCCAATTTGTACCATTTATGATTAGGTTTAAGTGAGTTGATGTGCGATTTACTTAGGAGAATTGCCATTTCAGAATATATTACGATAGTCCCCATACAGCCGTGTGGCCCAAGCTTGTCCTGCCTACAATCGGACTTTTGCTTTGCTAAGCCTGGACTTTCTTCACGGCAGCCAGCCCTTGCCCTCAGGCTTGGCTTTCCCTCTGCATATAAAGTATTGGACCATCGTTTGAACAGGCGGTTCTGTGGCACTAATGGCAGACCCCGAGACTTAGGTGTGCAGGGCCAGCACAGAGAAGTGATGTCCTATCTGAGACCCCAGGCTTGCTAAGCCTAAACCCTCTCTTGATCCACACAGTAGGCACAGTCCCAAGAGAGCCCTCGTCTTCAAGGCTTTGGGGAACATGACCTACTATCGTGCAGGAGAAAGGAAGGCCCATCCCAGAGGTTAAGGGGTCGGCTTACCACAACCTTTCCACTGTCCTCGATGGCACATTGAACTGGGGGAGCCTTTTAATATCACAGTGTAAACAGGTAGCAAGTGTCCTGCTCTGCCTTGGTAATAAGCAAGTCACCTGTGTTAAATTTTACTCTAAGAGGCAATGAGCCTCAAACTCTGTCCCTAGATGGTACATCTCTACCACAAGGAGTGACCATCCCTATGTCCAGTGCCCCTCTGTTAGAAGAGTCCTTTCTCCAGGACCCCAGGACCCACCCCCATCACGTCTAGTGTCCCCTGGTTCTCTGTCTGCACTGGTGTACAGAAGTTTCATGGGCCAGTGTGTAAAGGCCTTCTGGTCTGGGTGCCAATACTCAAGATGTTCTGGGGCAGTCATTATCCCTGTCTTCCAAAGATGCACAGCTCATGCCTTCAGAGGCCCCCTGGGCATATTCTTCATGCTCCAAATCTCGAAGCAGCTGTGACCTTCCCCTAGATTTCTAAACTCTTCATCTGACCTTGACCTCTAGGGGTGGCTAAACTTCATCTTGGCTTTTGTAGATATTTCTAGAAGGATATTCAGATGTTTTTCTTTTATCTGATGAGGTAAAGGTGGGTGCCCTTATCCCGACTGGCTGGCAGACTGCACATTGCTTTTGTCCAAAGGTTTGCTCAGGCCAACTAAGAAAGGTGGTTTGGGGCATCTCAAAGAATTGTTCTTAGTTATTCCACAGTAGGTCACCTGTCCTTGGTAGGTTAGGAGTCTGTGGAGCTTAGAGGTCACATTTCACTGGCTCGCCTTGTGTCTTCAAGCTAGGCCATGCTGATTAAAAAGGACAGATGCCAGGTGCTACCTCCTTTGTCTGCCAATGCCTTCCTTTCCTGACAAATCCACACCCGAGCTGACCCCATAACATGCAGTTTCCCATGCCCCCTTTCCCACTTTCCAGCCCATTACCCTCCTCACACGGTGGGCACAAGGCACCTTCTGGGGAAATAGCATATACTGCCCAGAGAGGTGGGTACCAGGGCTCAGGAACTTGAACCCTGCTCTCACTGGAGGAAAGCGCTGCTCTCACACTATCACTTCTTCCCTTTTGCCTCCGGTGTGACACATGACCAGCAGCTGGAAATCCCATAAAGAGAAATTAATAACAGTAATTCCAAATGCTTTCCAAGAGAAACAGTTGTGAGAAGAGAAAGAGAAAACAGACACCTGACTCATCCCCAGGGCTCCTCCTACTTCCCAAGTCTGCGAGGATAATCACAGTCTGAAGAACAGATAAGATAAACAATGGAAAGGATGGAGAGAGTCGTAGGGTTTTTAAAAGGGGCTTGGGGATCTGGTTATTACCACAGTCCTGTGGGAACCAAACTGTTCCATTGTGGATTTAATAGCAAGCACTAGACAAAGGCTTGTCCTAAGAGATGGTTTGAATGAGAAACGGCCCTGCATTTGAACACTTGCCTCCCAGTTGGTGGTGCTGTTGGGGAGGTTCAGAAAGTACAGCTTAGTTGTAGGAAGTACATCTACTGGAGGTGGGCTTGGAGTGTTTACAGCCTCCCCCAATTCCTATTTGTTCTCTCTGCCTCATGCTTGTGGTTAAGATGTGACCTCTCTGGATCCTGCTTAGCGGCCATGCCTGCTGCCTGCTGCCTGCTACCATACCTCCCAGCCATGATGTACTACTCTATTCCTCTGGAACCATGAGGAAAAAAAAAAACTCTTTTTACATAAGCACCTTTGGTCACAGCAACAGAAAAGTAACTAATAGACCCTACCAGGGTCATGTGCTTGGAAGGCTAGGCACACAGAACCAGGGACTTCAGGTTCCTATGCCTTGTATTCTGAGAATGAACAACCAGGTGTGAGTGAAGAGATGTTACAAGCGATGAGTGGCAAGCCATGAATAAATGTGCCCTAGGCTACTTTGTGCTTGACCCAAGGGAGCAGCCTCTAAACATAACGGAGGATCCCAGGATCCTGCTATGAGTCAAAGTTCCCTTAACTTATAACTGAGGATGAGCCAGGAGGGAAGCAGTTGCTATTTTGTTGTGGAATATTACTTTAACTAGGCAAAGATGTGTTACATTTGTTTATGCCACCGCGTTTGTTTAACTATGTAAAGATGTATTGCTTTGCCTGCCTAAGGCACCTGATTGGTCTGATAAAGAGCTGTCTGGCCAATAGCTAGGCAGTAGAGGGTTAGGTGGGGCTGGTGGGCAGAGGAAAAATGTAGGAGGAAGAGTCTAGGCTTGAGAGAGAAAAAAGAATGAGGGAGAGAGGGACACACCCCGAGTCAGAAGCCAGGCAGCTGCCAGACAGATAGACATGAAGTAGGACATACAGAAAGAAAGGTAAAAAGCCCTGAGGCAAAACGCAGATAAAGAAAACAGGTTAAAATAAGTTATAAGAGCTAGTAGGACAGGCATAAGATAAGGCTGAGCATTTATAACTAGTAATAACTCTCCATGTCATGATTTGGGAGCTGGTTAGTGACCCAAAAGAAAGCCTGCTACACTATTTTCTCCAATAATATCACTCCCTAAATATGAGAGTCCAGCCTAATCTAGATGACCCAACTGTTTCCATCCTAGGCTCTCTAGGAGACAGATGCAGAAACAGGGGTCTAGACACGGCCATTGGTTAGCCATTGAATTCTCTCTATAGCTTGAGAACACGCTTCTCTCAGGCATGGAGACAAGGAAAGTCACCTCTGCTGCCTCTACTGCTGCCTAGATCTTTCTGCCTCTCCTCTCCAGGATGAGAATCAGGACACTCTGCAGAGATCAGGACGGGAGCCAGGAACTCCCCAAAGCTCTGGATTTGGTATGGGAACTACATGACACTGTCCGGTGTTTCCTCAGACACTGTCTGAGTTGGTATCAGAACTATCATGCTGTTTAATGGAAACCCTCTCCGCTTCAGAGCTCAGGGTTATTGGAACAGGCTTTTGTGTCAGCCCATTGCTACCTTCACCCAGCTCCATTTCCTCAGAGGAAACTGCCTACGAAAGAGATATACGGGCACCTTCCAGGACACACCCTTTCCCAAGCATGCCCCTCTCTCAGGCATGGTTACCAAAGTCCATTAAACGTGACTAGGCCTGACTTCCTTCTTGTCTATGAGGCCCCTGGGGCTACTCAGGTGCTGCCCTTCTCCTCACTTATTCAGCAGGTGCTGCGAGAATCTGGCCCATGCAGTAGCCTGCATGGCACATCAACTATCTGAGCCCCCAAGAGTGGGAAGATGACAGCCCCACAAAACAGAGTGACCTGACCCTTGTGAGTGACACAGTCCCATGCCCTGGGGTTACTAGTCGGAGAGACTGAGGCATTTAGTGCTTAGCTAGCTCCTGAGACCTGGGGGGAATTCAGTCCGATGCCTAGCTAGTATCTGTTATGTTCTGTTACTCCACGGGATGGAGAAAATTTCACTGGTTCCCACAGTGCCTTTTATGAGTTTTATCTACATGTTTTTCTGTATCAGCTGGAAATTTTTAGATTATCGGTGTTAAATTTAAATAAAATATATCTACCATGATTGCAAAGAAGAAATATGTTACCAGCAGGGTCAGAATTAGTAAAATTGATTGGGAGTAACAAGCAAGATGTGGTTGTAGGTTATATTGGAACCCCATTTTTCTGTTGACCAATCTCTTCTCTTCCTCCAATTTTATTTACAGATTTATTACATACATGAGTATTTTTCCCACATGTGTATATGTGTACCATGTGTGTGACTATTGTCTGAGGAAGACAGA